TCATTATTGACTAACCCTGCTTTCTTAGTGTGCAGTTCATAATGACTGATGTTTAGAGAATATGAATGTGAGGAGCTGGAACTACATGAGTGACCATCTGATGAATCCTGCTCCTGGTGGATAATGTGGTTTCTTTGGTTGTGGTTCATGTTGACATTCTGGAAATATGAATATGAGGAGTAATTGTCTAAAATGTCTAAAGGAATAAATACCTTGTGTTGGTGACTTTTTTGGTTGGATTGTATTACTTTTGAATCTCTGCGAAGGTAGAAGTCATTGTGAAAGCCACAGGGGAAAAACGTTGACAAGTCTACGTTTAATCCACGTAGAACATTTTCCCATTTCCACGTGGAGTCTACGTATACTCTTGACGTTTACTCAACGTTTCCAGGTCGATAAATATACGTATATTCAATGTCTATTCAACGTTGCTGTGCCACATGGGTTCCCTTTCCGGGTGAACTAAGCTTACCCTTGCAAATAGTTTTCTCGCGCTCCCTCTTTTCATTCTCCAGGGATTCCAGAAGCCTTTCCGCGAAATTAGGTTCTTTCTCCTTCAGGCATTCCCATAATGCTCTGAAACCATCAGGTCCTTTATCGGGTATCATCTGTACCAGGAATTCAGCTTGCTGATTGGCCGGCTTTCCTATCCACTCTTGGTAGTCATTCGTCCCGATGACGTTTTTCAGTCTCAGGCACTTCAAGGTCTCCTTAAGGTTGATTTCTCGCTCAAATTCGTATTTATATGCAAGCATCACATTCATTATTGCCTCACGATTGGTGCCCATTATGTCTCGAGACTCTTGTCAGTGTGACTTGTGTGTCTACAGTAGAAAAGTTTCTGCTTCACGTAGAGAAATTACTTTGAACTTCGCGAAAATGATGGACACGGCTTGAAGGCGTGCATCGAGAGCGAAACTCGAGTATATGAACAATAATATGAAAGCTGAAAACACAATGTCTTACCTGAATGAATACCTGAGGTATGAATGTCCTCCAATTCCATCACACATTTATGAAGATACGACTGCAAGAAGATTCCAACGTTTTTTAGATAGGGTAGGCTCGACTCTTATCATGAGGAGGGGAGATATAGCAGTTGAGGTCTGGCTTACGTCATCAAGTGCTTGATAGGAATATGAGTCTGAGTCAGAAAGTTTTCGAACTCGTATTTTTTGTATTAAAATATTATATATATATTTTTCGTTTTTCTAATGAAGCAACAAGCGTCCTCTCCCATCGACAACGTGCCTTTCCTTGTATATACTGTATGTTTCCTAGGAAGTGACACCCACAATTGCGGTCAGCTGTTCTGCATGGTTGGAAGCTCGACAGGTAGTCTATCACGTTCCTCACCAGAGATTTTTTGTTCCCATTTATGAAATCATCAGAGTGCTGATACATGGTCGTGGTCATCACGAAACAGAAACTCCAATAATTCAAATTGGAGGAGCAGAGGTTAAACACATAGCGTTTGCGATCCTGACCGCTAGCTAGGGCGAGCGACAATTGCGTGCTTGTGTGTGTNTTTTGAAAGCTGGATTCTGTCAACTCTCTTTAGATGTGAGAAGATGTAATACAAAATTGCAAGATTTTATAGGCCTAAAGGTTTCTATGCTCTCTATCTTAGAAAGTTGAACTGATAAGTTATATGTAGTGTAGTATGTAGCATGTCTAGGCTTCTCTGATATTTAATAATCCATTGGGCTTAAGATACTTGAAGTAGTCTTTAATTCCAATTCCATCCTTCAAGGAGTTTTTGGTTAGTTTCCTACTTTAGGACATTCTTCCTTTTCCTGCAAATAAGATCACCATATTCTATTGATTCTGGAATAAATTTCTGCGGAATCACTGTGAAAGTATCTTGTAAAACATTATCTATTTAAGTAATCCAGAAAAGCTCACTGGATTCCTTGACAGTGTAATGATCCACATTATGCTCATAATAGAAGTGTAACAGTTGTACAATTTACTATAATGTGCATATCACATTCAATATCCCTTCATCAGGAATATTAATCTCTGGATTTCAGGATGTCATTATTGACTAACCCTGCTTTCTTAGTGTGCAGTTCATAATGACTGATGTTTAGAGAATATGAATGTGAGGAGCTGGAACTACATGAGTGACCATCTGATGAATCCTGCTCCTGGTGGATAATGTGGTTTCTTTGGTTGTGGTTCATGTTGACATTCTGGAAATATGAATATGAGGAGTAATTGTCTAAAATGTCTAAAGGAATAAATACCTTGTGTTGGTGACTTTTTTGGTTGGATTGTATTACTTGCGAATCTCTGCGAAGGTAGAAGTCATTGTGAAAGCCACAGGGGAAAAACGTTGACAAGTCTACGTTTAATCCACGTAGAACATTTTCCCATTTCCACGTGGAGTCTACGTATACTCTTGACGTTTACTCAACGTTTCCAGGTCGATAAATATACGTATATTCAATGTCTATTCAACGTTGCTGTGCCACATGGGTTCCCTTTCCGGGTGAACTAAGCTTACCCTTGCAAATAGTTTTCTCGCGCTCCCTCTTTTCATTCTCCAGGGATTCCAGAAGCCTTTCCGCGAAATTAGGTTCTTTCTCCTTCAGGCATTCCCATAATGCTCTGAAACCATCAGGTCCTTTATCGGGTATCATCTGTACCAGGAATTCAGCTTGCTGATTGGCCGGCTTTCCTATCCACTCTTGGTAGTCATTCGTCCCGATGACGTTTTTCAGTCTCAGGCACTTCAAGGTCTCCTTAAGGTTGATTTCTCGCTCAAATTCGTATTTATATGCAAGCATCACATTCATTATTGCCTCACGATTGGTGCCCATTATGTCTCGAGACTCTTGTCAGTGTGACTTGTGTGTCTACAGTAGAAAAGTTTCTGCTTCACGTAGAGAAATTACTTTGAACTTCGCGAAAATGATGGACACGGCTTGAAGGCGTGCATCGAGAGCGAAACTCGAGTATATGAACAATAATATGAAAGCTGAAAACATAATGTCTTACCTGAGGGTAGGTATGAATGTCCTCCAATTCCATCACACATTTATGAAGATACGACTGCAAGAAGATTCCAACGTTTTTTAGATAGGGTAGGCTCGACTCTTATCATGAGGAGGGGAGATATAGCCGTTGAGGTCTGGCTTACGTCATCAAGTGCTTGATAGGAATATGAGTCTGTCAGAAAGTTTTCGAACTCGTATTTTTTGTATTAAAATATTATATATATTTTTTTCGTTTTTCTAATGAAGCAACAAGCGTCCTCTCCCATCGACACTTTCGACAACGTGCCTTTCCTTGTATATACTGTATGTTTCCTAGGAAGTGACACCCACAATTGCGGTGAGCTGTTCTGCATGGTTGGAAGCTCGACAGGTAGTCTATCACGTTCCTCACCAGAGATTTTTTGTTCCCGTTTATGAAATCATCAGAGTGCTGAAACATGGTCGTGGTCATCACGAAACAGAAACTCCAATAATTCAAATTGGAGGAGCAGAGGTTAAACACATAGCGTTTGCGATCCTGACCGCTAGCTAGGGCGAGCGACAATTGCGTGCTTGTGTGTGTGTGACCACAGACCAAACGCTTTAAGATATGAACGTGAGGTTTCAACAGAAATATTTCCATCATCCGAGGAATTGCCTTTGCGAAATGAAATTTGCAAACCGGCCTTCACGAAAGGAAGGGGAGGCAACTTTCCCGAAAATCGCAGACTCACTCTTGTCTCACCCTCTTCAGGATGGTGAGATAAGGAAACGAGAGTTGAAATGGTTCTCGAAAAGGTTGAAATGGTTCTCGAAAAGGAACGCCGGCATCGCTCACTGCAGTGCCTCCCGCCTGCCGCCGTTATTTCAGGCATTTCAAGGGTCCTTTATGAAATTCGTCAATTCGTCGTCACTTGCATTCATATGGGCTCCGCAAATAATCAACGCAGTTTCCTCGAGGGGATCCATCTCTCAAAATGCAGAAGTTCAGATTCGCAGGGTAACGTGCTCTTCCGCCACAGTATACATCACCTTCAGTCCTTTGAAAGCGCTCACGAACTACGCAAGGAAGCCGACGAGCGCGAGTTACTCAAAGGATGTATTGTTATCAGTATGCCGGCCGAATGCTCATGCTTCCAACGGCTGAGGACTTGCGGATGTCTTGTCCGCATGCCAGGATTGGTCCATGGGTGGCACTTTCAACACGACTCCTGAGTAATACATGCAGATGTATAGCATCCACGGGCGTTTTCATCGAGAAATCATCCCACCTGTATACACTATTCTACCAGGGAAAGATGAGCGACTGTGCACCAGGATGCCGGAGCGCCTTCGTTTTCAGCATGGAATCTTTGCACACAAGAGTGTTACGACATATTTTGGGTAGGCTGCTCAGAATGCCATGGAGCGCGTTTCCAGGTGTGTAATTTGCATATCCATCCCGCACAAACTGTATGGAGAAAGATTCAAGACTCTGGCCTGACTCCCTGAATCCTGAATTCCGCATGCAAATGGAATCGCTTCCAGCAGTCCGCTTCGTGGCACTAGCAAAATTGGAAGACGCATTCAAGGACATTTTTGCTATCCTGCCAAACGCAGCAATGCTTGTGCTGAGCTATTTCGAAGATAATTATATCGTTTGAGCGATGAGAAGGAATCGTCGGGTGGCACTGCTGTTCGAAATAGGTCTCTGGAACAACTACGATCATGTCCTGCAGGACCTGCCACGTACGACAAATCCCGTGGAAGGCTTCCGTTACAGTCTCCTAATTATGATTGGCTACACCTCAACTTCCAAACCTAGGGTAAACACCCCGGTTTCTGGCCGGTCTCCAGTTGTTGACTAGTGCGCCTTAAGTCCAGCATAACTAGTTAGTCTGGCCGTTTTCAAGCATTCTATCAACATCTTCCTATACGAGGAACCATAGTGAACCAAGGTGAAGCAGTGTTTCCCGGTGTGCGCACAGGCTGCCCACTTCCTATGGGAGCAAGTATGAATGTAGCCAAAAACTGAAGTGTTTACCCTACCTTGGGAAAATCCAGCAGGAGAATGAGAAGCACGAACTGAGCATCACAAGGCGAATCGCTGGTGTTCCTCCCTCCTACGAAAAAGAAGAAATACCTGAACATAGATTGACGTCCGGTTTTTTCATTATCTCAGTTTCACCATCCCAATTTCACCTCAGGGGAAAATCATGGTAAGGGCGTAGTCAGCCCATGAGGCTTTGCCACGAAGGCACGATTTCACATGCTCTTAAAGTGAGGCAAGGAGTCAGTTATCATCGATTGCGATCTCTTTCGTTTCCAAATAAGCGAGAGTTCTTCTGTCCGTCAAATTCGAGCGGCAAATCGAAAAGAGACACTCGAGATGGCGCAACGCACTTTCCGTAGCAGTAACTCTGAAATTTCTATGGAAATCGAGGAGTGCTGATCTGCAAGCATTTATTTCAATTCGTCTTCTCGAACCCAAACGGAAGTGAAACTCGATTGCTCTCCTTCGCTCTTATCGGTGGAAACTCTGTAGGTGCGGCCTCGTTTTCTATTCATCGCAACTGCATCCACCTGCCATCAAAACTGGAAAGGTAGAAAATGTCTCCGCCTCTGAGACACTCAATATCTTCAGCAAGTACTATATATCCCTATTGATAGCTTCATGACTCCATTATCCACGGTAGTGAGCTAATTTCATTTTTTCGTTTTTGGCATTTGAGGAGGTGTCTTGTGACATGAGCTTCACCAAAGTATGAGTCAACGCAATACTTTTTCTAGCAGAACGTTATTTCTTCGTCATCTTGCAAAATATGGAAGGACAGAGGAAAGGTACTCTTCCTTTTTTGCAGAAAAGATCCTTTAAAAATAATTTTCATTGGTGCAGGATCCTGCTTTATTCACATACCGTACTTTCTAATGGAAACAATGAATTACTGATCATCCCCATAAATGCTTACTTCAGTTAAGTTCTTTTGCGATCGATGAATTGCACACATTTGATTGAGGAGAGCATAAAAATAAGTGAATACAACTTATTCACCTTCGGGATGATGCTAATGAAAGATGAGAATCTTAAGCAATTGAACAAGACTTCTGTGACGATAAAATGAAGAAACGTAAAATAAAGTATTCTAATAGTGCAGAATAATGGTCAACAGAGAGATAGATCAACATGGTCAATAAAGAGATGAAAATGAGAACTATCATTTTATTGAAAGAAAAAATGGACGGGGGAGTAGACACAGTCCAGCGAAGCACCATTTGAGCGAAGATTCCAGCTTTCAGAACGCAAGGGGAAAAGCCGATGACAGTTTTAGACCCCACGTCGTGATGAAGAATTATTGCATCATGGAATGCATGGTTTTCCAAGAAAGGAAACTATATTTCATTCATGCTAAGAGAAAGCGCTGCTGGGAGTTTGTAGCCAGCACTTATCACAAGGAATGACTGGAAGTGATGTAAAACAAAAGGAACAATAGAACACAGGAAAACTCTTGATATCTTGGCCTCGATTGGATGATGCCAATGAAAGATGAACATCTAGAAAGAGACATGAGGAAAGCCCATGATGGGGAAGGTTAATACAATGGACTCTATTAATTCCCTCCAGCTATTTTATATTTTTACGTCAAAAGATTTCCAGGCTTTTGAGGTCATGGAGGCCATGGAGGACGCATAGGTCATAACTTATGCTCTTTGATCATGGGGAGACTTTTTCCGACGCACTTTTATATCACCTCTTTCTCAGATGTTGAACATATATGTAACATTCCAGCTATTAATAGTTGAGGCATCGTTGAGACTAGACATCTAGACTAGACAGGTTAGTTGAGACTAGACATCAAGCGCAGAAAATGCGACAAAGCAAAGGTAGAAACTATCAGGGAAAAAACTTGGCTCCTTTGTTTGTTGCTGTTGTGCTTTCTACTGATGTTATCTAGCGATTTTGACATTGGCCTTTATTTTAAGATTTCAAGGTATCCTAACCTTAAAGATGAGGTTTGAAGTGCCAAACTCCAAGAGCCAAAAATAATTTGTAGGAACTCATTTTAAGTCTCTAATTAATTCATTAATATGCGCCAATGAGCTACCTACCGTTATTTATTCAAATTTCCATCATTAACACAGAGAAATACAAAATGTACACGAAATGGAGTTCCACTATTTACTTATACTTTACAATCGATGCCACTCATGAGCCTCTTACGTTAATAGTTTCTTGGTTTATGGTGCTCTTCTCTGGTGCGATATGCAGTTTTCCATGATACATGGTATGTAGATACAACAGGGCTAGTTCCTCCGTTTCGTTTTCATCTCTGCAATCCTGTTGCATGCGTCGCTGGAAACAAACGGCATGACCTACCGAAAGGCTCTCTGTTGCGGTTGTCCTGCACCTGCGAAGGAAAGAAACACTTTGCTGTTACAAATGTAAATTTAAATCCTTTCTCAAGTTATATATGCGAGCAAAAAAAAATTATAAGATTAATAAGGTGACCCTAGATGGCAGCAACCGTCGACTTTCGAGTGTGGCGGCATCACAGCCACGACCAAATTGGCTAGCCGAGACGAACCGCTTACACTGTGATTTAATACATGAGGTTTTCTTTGAGCTGGATCGCCTTCAATGAGACTACACCACTGCCAATCATTTCTCCCCGAAAATCTCCTGCTTTCTGATTAACGCCATTTAGGCATCAGAAAACGATCACTAGAGCATCTTAGAAAACTTCTCAGCATTTTTTCAGCATGAATTCCAATAAATTTCCTTTGGAGATGTCAAGGCAAATAAAAACTTGAAAATAAAGCACATAATTGAATACGTTTCCATACCTTGTAAGAATATAACAGCATCCTGCCTTCCAATGTGATCGAGGGCTTCGAGGACGACATCAAAGTATTTTTGCGGATTCTTGTTGAAGAGTATGTGGAAAAGCTCGTCAAATCGCATCGTCGGGTCCGTTATCGCCCGAATCCGTTTCTCCTCGTGGAGGGTGAAGACGGCCTTGTCGCTCAAGCTTCGAAGCAGCTCGTCGCCGTCCACATTGAATTCGTCTCTTAGCTTCAGCCGATTTGCTCTGATCCTGATCCATGTTTGTGGCTCGTCGCTCATCCTCGGAATAAACTTTCGATGCGTTTCTGTTTCGCAAAAACACCATTAATTTTGCATCACATATCCACAATTCTTCGAGGAAAGCTGCTCAAAGCTTGAAGGAATATCCGTGAACAGGACCTGGGGTCTCCTGGTAGATGAACAGCTTCCAGGGTTCTTCCATGCAATTTTGGCTGACTAGTTGAAAATATCGAATCACCAAACAACGGATATCAATAGTTGATCTAAACAGCGAACTACATTCTATTCATAAATTCAGCCTTCTTACTGATAATTTATAAATAGGAGAAGTACATGTATGTATGCATGTAAGTATGAATCTTCTCCCCTTGTACGTGTTCCCAAGAAGTGCATAAATTATGACAATTATGAGAAACGTGAAAACCGCAATTTAGCAGCTTAGTAAAATATTCACATGATGTTACGAAGGAAGTGTGTCATTGGCATTTATTCTCTCTTCATTTAAGTTATCTGAAAACATGCATGATGTATCAAATAACAAAAGGCAAACAGTAAATTCTGCTACAATTTTTTATTATAAATTTTCTCTAAGGTAACAGGTTTGAATGTTATTGCATCTCTTCAGCGTATTTCTCTCCACATTGACACATGATTGCATCCTCATCAGTGACTTATCGAGGAAACCATGGTATTGAGAAGGAGATATACTCATTAGATGTGTATTCGAAGGTCTGAGGCAGTTCTGATCAGGCAAATATGTTCCAATCTAGTAAGCCATAACGTAAGGTCATTTCCTCTCTGAATTATTTGATGCACCGTCATTTCCAGTTTTAAAATCAGTGCTTGGCAGAAAGAAAATTGTGTGCATTCTGGATTTGAACTGCGGTATCTAAGTCAGACCCTTGAAATAAGCCTAAGTAGCGTATAACGGTGCAGTGATTTGTGACTGTTGAGAGAGGATATCTTTGAATGAAGTGCAGGGAATTACTTCAAAACCAACAGGGAAAAAATTGGAGCCACCAATAATGAAGTGCCCTCGCGTCATGTGAACCTAGCCGATTGGGCACCGCAGGATTCCTAATGCAACATTAAAGCAAGAGAGAGGTATAGGAGATGATCATACCAAAATGCTGTGAAGGGAACGCAGGTTGTAATGATGATGCTTCACTCCATATCTGGAAGGCGGAGCAGGAGAGCGATCGGCTCGCCTTTTCACTATCTACTCTCCTTATCTATTTTACTTTTCTATCGATTCAGAGCTCTACAGTAGATATTCATTCTCTGGGTTCTAGTAAGGCTTCGTAAACGTGTTCATGCTTCAAAGCGCTTCAATAATTCGTTTGGTGTGCCTCGGTTCCTCCTCTACACCAAATCTTCAGTTGCCAGGAAAAGACGGTTTTCGCTCACGCAAGTACTAATAAAAATATTTGCTAGTGGGGACCATCACCGTCCCAATCATAGATATGTTCTTGATATTCTTGGGCTTCCTTCGTTCAAGAGACATGTTTGGCTTACATTTTTAAAACTAGTTCATTTCAAGGTGCAGTCTGATAGTCCGTGTCGGTAGCTATTAGCGGCCATTTAACTTACAATGTCTAGGGCAGTCAGTGGTTATCGTTGCCTGTAAACCATTTCCTCATTAATTTTCTGTCATTTCCTTGCTGTGACGGTGATGAGATAAATTTTGCCAGTTTTCGTAGTTTTCGTTTAGTATCCTTTTCTAGATTGCACTAAAAAAAAGAGATCTATGATTAAGGAGCAAGGAGTTGTAAAATAGAAGAAAAACCTGTTGACATTCCCATCTGAGGAAAACGTGTGGGGAAAATTCCCTTGACGATAACACTACCCCCTAGTAGTTGCAAGAATCTGCAGCTGAACGAGTTTCCACCAAAGGCGAGCCCCGTTCTGGAAGGCCCAGAACTCCGAGTTATGACGAAAACGTCGAACGGGCGGAAGATCTGGTGAAGTCAGACAGACGCCTGTCTATTGATGATGCCACAGGGAGAATAAGACTCTACTTCGGAATCGTTGCAAAGATTCTGTCTCGTAAAATTGAGAGAAGTGAGCACCTGCTGGGTTTTCCGAGGGCGCAAAGCGAAGCCGTCTGGACCCTTCTGCCATGGTGGCACAGAAATGCCGTGTGCCCAGCGAATTTCACAGATCGTGCGATCACTTCGGACGAGCCGTGGTTCGCTTTTTCAATCCCGAGATCATGAGACAATGAAAACAATGGAGACCCACGGATTACCCTACCGCCTCAGAAGTTGCTTCAAATTAAAAGATTCTGTCCTTTTCTTGGACAAACGAGGCTTGCTTTGGCTCGTGCAATTCCCGAGGGGATGCACCATCATTGGCCTGATCTTTATCCTTCATCCTCCTCGTACGTCAGATCTCGCTGCGATGCTGCGACATTTTATTATTAAAAGTGTACGTATATTATACTTTAATTCGAAGAGCCCGAGAGTTGTGGTAGTGGGAGGGGTCGTCACCCGAGCGCGCGAGGCCTACAAGACTATGTCACTTCAGGCCAAAGGCCCGGTCTTTCAGGCTATGTTATTCTAGGCCATAGGCTTGGCCATCCAACGCTTTTAGCGCCAGGTCCATCGAGCTATATCAGTCTGAGCCATAGGCTTCATACTTAGCCGTGTCAATCAAAGGTTGGTAATAACTGAATGCCTGTCATGTTTTCACTGATCGACTGCAAGTTCTCCATCTGAATACATTCTTTGATCAAGTGTTTCTGTATTTATTTTTTTTTCCCGTTAGAGCAGGCGTGGCGGTTCGGGACATCGCTTCCATGTAATAGTTTTCTGCTTGCGTTTCATGTCATGGTCGATTTATTTGAGTTACCATGATTGATGAAGTCAAAATAATAACGTAAATTCTTTGTTTCATACGTCGCACAAACGGACCTCCCATCAAGATGGTCGCGATATTGGCGAGGTGAGGTTGAACGTGAAAAAAAATGTTGAAAGAGGTCCCACAGGACGGCGATGAGGCAGTCGCTGCAGCTATTAAACAATTGGTGCTGGCGCGGAAACAACGTTTGCCACTGCAGTTGCGGTGCGAAGTGCCNTTATGCAAGAGTATTGAATGTGCTGGGAAGAAGTTGTGGCGGTGGATATCACCGCAACGCGCAAGGCCTACGAGACTGTATCATTTTAGGCCATAGGCTATGCCATCCACCACTCAAAGGGCCAGGTCTATTAGGCTATGGCATTCATGGCCATGGGCTAGACCATCCACCGTTCAAAGCGCCATGTCCATGGGGCTATGCTATTCTGGGCCAAAGGCTTGGCCATCCAACGCACTTAGCGCCAGGTCCTACATCAGTCGGACGTGGCGGTTCGCGCCATCGCTTCCATGCAATAGGTTTCTGTTTGCGTTTCATGTTATGGCCGATTTATTTGAGTTCTCGTGATTGATGAAGTTAAAAAAATAGTCTAAAATGTCTGTGCTTCATATGTCGCGCAAACGAAGTGCACCTCTTATCAAAATGGTGGCAATTTTTCTAAGGTGAGTTTGAACGGGAAGAAAAAATGCTGAAGGAGGACACACAGGACGGCGATGAGGCAGTTGTTGCTGGTAAAAAACGGTTGGTGCTGGCTCGGAAACAACGCTTGCCACTGCAGTTGCGGTACGAAGTGCCTAAATCGGTGCTAACCGTAATGGCTAGAATCAGTGATGAACAGCAGCAGATGTGCATAGGGCCGCTGCGACCGCTGAACAGCAAGAATCATTGGTGTCTGTACCATACGCTAACGCTAATAGCCCATGTGTTAATCGGTGATGCAAGAGTATTGAATGTGCTAGGAAGAGATAATCAGCAAATTCGTCTTAAATCTCATGGAACCGTGCTAAACCGAGGCGTCCACAATGGCAATTGTTGCAATCAGCTGGATTATCATGCTGATGGTGTTTAAGAACAGAATCTTCCTGTGTACTGTAAGCTATATGTTTATAAATGTAATGAAGCGGTTCAGTTCCGAATGCGATGAACAGAGGATTGTCAAGGAGACGTTATACTTACAATAGACGATTCATATTTCCCCTTATTAGACGGCCAGCGCAGCGGCCACAGGCCGCTAGTAGAGCCTATGAAGGTGAATCCGTGCTCTTCGAGACATCTCGTTCAGGACGTGTAAAGTTAGGCCAGTTGCAGGCCTATTCATATTTTTCACGAACCATTTCAGAGGATGTGACACATTAGACCGATTTGACGCCTTTTCGCGTTTCATGAGCTATTTCAGGGCGGACGTGGAACGTTAGGCCTATCTGGAGTTCCTCGAACCATCTCGGATAGGTCTGAGTTTTTAATGCCCCAAGGAAGCATGGCATCCATGGCGCGCGCCATCCTCTTAATTCAGTGAGGTCCGGATAAGATATTTTACATCCATAATCCTACCACATCGATGAATCACTACTAACCGCGGCTATATTCTCAGCTCAACTCATGAACTGAACGCACAAATATTTCGTGCATTAAAAAACAAGATCCAGACGTGGATACGAAGGTTGAAGTAGTCTTGAATCTGGCATAATTTCGCACTGTATCCGCCAACACCAGGGGCGGGATCGAAGGTAGCTAAGCTCAATTAAAAAACAGCTTATTTCCCTTCTCATAGAGAAATGGTACATTGCAATAAAAAAGGGCACTTTTCGTCATCTACGAGTGAATATCTTTCTTAGAGTTGGCTTCTTTTCTCCAAAACCCCCCAGGAGTTTGGGGGGGATTGGGGGGGGGGGGATGAAATTCATTTCTTCCAAAAACGTGATTCTATGTTCTCCACAATGCCGGGGAGATGGAGCTCCAAATTTGCTGGAGTTATTCTTATGTGAGAGAGTAAGAAGCAGACAACATTTCTTTGTTGTTGATACTCTCAGAGAGGAATAAGAGGAGATTGAATTTTTCTACGGAAAGAGGTGGAAGAAAAGTAATAGGCGCTACCAAAGCCTATTGATGTATATAACATCTAACCGTGTCAGAGCAATCAGCATTCGGACATCACCCCACACAGACTGTAAGAGAGGGA